CATATATCCTTTCTAATTGGTGTATCTAGTTTCTTGGGATATATTCCTAGAAGTGGGATCACTGGGTCAAATGGGAGTTCCATTTTTAGTTTTTTGAGGAAACTCCATACTGTTCTCCACAGTGACTGCACTATACTTCTGCAGGAAAATTTGCTGTGTTTTCCATCCCAGGAATATAAAAAGAAACATATTTTTGATACAAATATGAATATGTACACATATATATGAATGGATGGCTGACAATTCTATCATGCTTCATTTCTCTGTAAACATTTTTATATTCTAGGAAGATGGAGTGGTGGGCTTTCCAGTCCTCACTGCCCTTGGTTCCTGCCACACTGTGTGTGGTTTGCATCCTGAGAATGCAGTAGATCAGCTTTGGTGTGTTACTCTGGGAAACCTCCAATCTAGTTTGCATGGGTGTGTATGTGTGTTTGTGTGAGGGGTTGGGTGGGGAGAGAAGTACATCCCTCTAGATGACTGGAAATGCCCTAAAGATCCTCATTCCCTTCCTGGCACAGTGGGCACTCAGCGAATGGGAGAGGATTGATTGAGATGAATGTGGAGGCTGTGAGTCCTTGTGGATGTTTGAGAAACAGAGTCACAGGTATCAGAAAGAAATGAGCGAGGAGGAGCAGATTCACATATGTAGGAACAATATCCTTTGAAATAAACAGGAATTGGCTAGATGAGTGAGCAATGTGAAAGCCAGGTGTGGGGGCAGGGCACTCAGGGTTAGAGAGTCAGAGTCAGCGCGGACAGGCACTAACTAGACTCCAGCGTGACTCACTGAGTCGCAGGAGGAGAGCCCTGCTCCAGCCTTGGATGCCCAAGGAACAGCCTCTGGGTGGCATTACACAACCTCCCAATGCCAGCCCAAGAAAAGTCAGCGGTGGGGTAAGGGGGAGGGGGGGACCCGCCACCCACCTACTACCAGGACCCCAAGACTCTGAAAGATGCCCTTCCTCACCAACCTGTCTGGGAACAGGTCCTATTTCACAAGGGAAAGGAATAAAGACAATGAGTCAGATCACGACACACACAGTCAGGAGTGAAATGGAAAGTGCATTTAATGGGGGCAGAACAGAGCTGATCCACATATTTGCACCTTAAGTCCCTCTTCAGATGAATCCTGAGCTGAAACTAGGGTTCTAAGGTATCTAGACTCTCAGCCTCATTCAGAAGCTCAGAGGCCTGGACTGTTTGGGAAGGAAGGCTTCATAGCACATATTTTTAGGGGGCAACTGAGGGAGGATTGTAACTCAGGGTAACAGCATGCTAATTACAAGGAAAATGGCACTCAAGCAGAATGGGAGAGGGGATTCAGCATCAAGGACCACATTACTTCTGCTTGGTCTGCTGAATTGGTCCCGGGATGACCGTTGAGTGGCATGGCTCAGGAACCTTGGGGTGGCATGGCTCAGGAACCTTGGGGTGGCATGGTTCAGGAACCTTGGTTTGGCATGGCTCTGGCAGCTTGGTGTGGCAGGGCTCAGGATCCTTGACTTGGCATGGCTCAGGAACCTTGGTGTGGCATGGCTCCGGAGCCCTTGGTGTGGCAGGGCTTAGGATCCTTGGTTTGGCATGGCTCAGGAACCTTGGGGTGACATGGCTCAGGATCCTTGGTTTGGCATGTCTCAGGAACCTTGGGGTGACATGGCTCAGGAACCTTGGGGTGGCAGGGCTCAGGATCCTTGGTTTGGCATGGCTCAGGAACCTTGGTGTGGCAGGGCTCAGGAGCCTTAGGGTGGCATGGCTCAGGAGCCTTAGGGTGGCATGGCTCCTTGGTTTGGGGAGCACATGGTTCCTGGGGTGGAGGCTGGCAGGGCTGTTTCACCTGCTGTTGCTGAAGCTGGGGGGGTGTGGTACAGGGCTGCTTCTGCTGGTAGGAACTCATGGTTCACAAGAGGCTGGACCTAAAGACAGAACAGATTATTTAAACAGGGATTAGCTAGGGAAGGAGCCACACTCAATGCCAGTTCGGGTCTCCTAAGAAGCAAATGTTCCCCTTCCTCCGTTTATGACTAAGAACACCCTGGTGATTTCTGAACCTTTGAACAGGGGGAACCGAAAGGTAATTTGTTCAGCTCCACTCAGGGCCTCTCCCAGTGCTCTCTTTCTTCCTGGCACAACTTAAAACCCAATTAGCAACGCAACACAGCCGCAGGTTCCTAGCAGAAATGTGAGAGCACAATATTGGATCACATGGAAATGTGATATGGTTTGAAAGAAAAAAACACAAAAAAACAGCAACCCAGTAACTTCAGCCTAACATTTCTGAAAACAGAATGGTTTATCACCTATAAGCTAATTACTGACTTCTCCAGAACCCACTTGATCCCCCTCTAGCCTCACTCACACCCTACTCTTTCTCACGAGCTTCCTTCAATCTGCTCGTTCAAGTACTACCTGAACACCATGGGTCACAGGTGGCCTCTATGACCCTCATCCGATACCTTGGGAGGCATTTCTAGAGCAAGCCTTCTCTTTCCCAAACTGCACAGCACTTTGCTTGTCCTTATTGCTTTATGCGGGTGACTTTCTACATTGACTTTCTGCTGCCCATGTCTTATTTTCCTGTATACGCTGTAGTTTCATGGAATAAATTCTCTGTTGTCTAAATTGTTTTTTTTTAGCAAAGTACCAACATAATAAATTCTCATAAAAACACTTTGGTGAAAGAATAAAATTCTCCGCATTCAGGTTATGAATAAAGAAAGAGGTATAATGTCACTATAAGTTCTACCAACTCTAAGTTAGCAGGGTTCATCCTGCTAATGGAGGGTCTCATGCAAGCCAATCCTCTTCTCTCTGTCACAGCAAGAGCTGATGGGGCAGCATTGACAACATCTTACTAGTAAGTCTCTTCAAGCGAAAACTATGATTGCATTTACAACAAAGCTATTCCTAGAGGCTATACCTCTGATAACAGAACTTCAATAGTGCCAAGGAGGTTCCAATAAAAAGAAAATACCTTGAGCAATTGGTAAGCGTTCGGAGGAAGGAGAGCCACCGGGTGCGCAGAGAAGAGCAGGCTGCGTGGTCACTCGGGTCTGGTGTAGTGTCCCCAGCCAACTGGCTTTTTATAGATGGAAACCTGTCTCAAGGAAGTGGGATTTTTTTTTGGACTGCTATGTCTTAATCCTTTGCCTGTCAAACATGATTCACCCCAGTCCCCTCATCTACCTGTTGGTTCAGTCTTTGTGATGAAACCACCCACTTGACATTTTTTTGGCACTTGCTGTCTGGCAATGATGTCACCTGGGCCTTGTCCCCACGGAGGGTCCTTTACACCCAAGTGGAATGTTTACAGTGGGGGCGGTGTGGGCTGAAAGGCAAGAAGAGGGAGAAGTTCTAGGGCTGCCGGATCCAGAAACATCCCTGTTTCCTGGAGGCCCTAATCCCTGGCACAGTCCAGGCTTATTGAACTACTTAGTATTGGAAGTGGATGTGGAGATAAGCAGTTGTTCCTGGTTCTCCTGGGAGGCCAAGGGCATGGTGCCATGAACTTCCTCAGGTGGAAAAAAGTAATAATTCTCTTTACCCATTCCTAAGTGTTTCCAGGTCTGGGAGGAGAAAGGCAAGGCTCAAATGATTCTTTTGGCCCTAAAATTCCTTCACTCCAAGAGAGACCTCAGCGTCAATAGCAGACAGGGGTATGGGGACCCCGATCTGTGATGGGGATGCTGATTGGTGAAAACGTGGAGAAGACAGTCAGGTTCAGCAGCCCCAGAGAAACGTGGTCCTTTTACCCATCCACTTGTTCTGTCTAATGTGCCAGTAGACCCTGAAGATGCTGCCTCCCATGAGGACCCCTTCCTGGGAGCAACACAGGAACATGGGACCTGTGATTCCTTGACCCTTTATATCAGAGTCCACTCTGCTTAAGATAAAATGAAAGTGAGGTCACTAATCCAGGCCTGCCGTTCATACACAATCTGTAACAAGCTGGGGTATTTGGAAAATCCAAATCATTCTTCAAACCCAGGTGTTTGCGTGGTCCCTTCTTCCTTACCTTTGCTCACCTATATTTTGTGGAGTAGCTGCTGGCTCCACAGCTGTGTCACCTCCCCTGAACTGGAGCCCAGGACCAGCCAGCCATCACCAGGAGCGCTTCCCACTCATCTCCTAGTGATTATTCTATTCTTTATCCCCACAAGGTACTTGATAGATTGACAATAATAGAATAGGTGGATGAATGAATGTCATTACTTTTATGAGATACACAGAGGCTGCTTTGAGAACAGCTATAAAGTTTATTTCCTTTTTAAAAAAATATATTTTTATTGATTTGAGAGCCAGAGAGGAAGGGAGAGGAAGAGAAACATCAATTGGCTGCTTTCTGCAACCCCCTACTGGGGATGGAACTTGCAACCTGGGTATGCGCCCTGACGAGAAATTGAACCAGCGACCTTCTGGTGCATGGGACAATGCTCAACCAACTAAGTCTCACCAGCCAGGGCACTAGGACATTTTTTATAAAAGAAACACTCCCTTGTCACAAGCCACATGGTATGAGCTGAGAATAGGAGTAATGGTTCAGCAAGAGTCAGTGACCTGATATACCTATCTGACTTGTGTGTCCTTTCCCCCAGACAACACCTTTTCCTTTCCAGCACCTGAATTTCTTCTTCATGGAAGCTCAATTTCTTCACCAGCAGTGCTGAATTAGCCAATGAATTTTCTGGCAGCTATATGGCTTCTGATTGCAGCTAGCATCTTCCCAATGACTTTCACACTAATGCCTTTGTCTGGATGCTGCTAATGTTCTTATTCCAAAGCCTGATCTTTCTTAGTCTTACTGGTTAACTGTACTAGACACCTTTTGGGCATCTCTACAAATTCTCTCTGCCCTACTTTGTATCCACACACTGCCACGTGGCCCTCGAATGTAGGCTCGAATGGGATTTGTGCAAGATCCTCCTGTCCCTTCCTGATCTAAGTCTGCTATGATGCTAAAGTGCAAGGTACCCATAGAACAATGCACTGTTGAGTACATAATCCAGAGAGAGTTAATGCACATGGAGTCAGACTGGACAAATGGTGGTTGTGAACGGGAGTGATAGGAGGTTATGGACAAATACTTCTGCCTTCATCTCCAGACAAAGAGTTCTACATCTTCTCACCACATGAGAAAAAGCACACACACAAAAAATTTTTTTCAAATGCGAACCACAATCTGATTGCATCAAAATAGACATGAATCTCAAGAACTCAGGCTCAGCTACATAGGAAATTGTGGCCTTCCTAAGATCGAGCAGGATTAGTTACTTCTCAAGTCACCTAAAAGGACAAGTCGGGGAGTGTCAGGTGATGACATACCCTGGAATCTCCCCACTGGAATATGTGCTCAGCACTGGAGGCCTGGCTCACCTTGTAGTTTCAACAGATGCTGGTGACAATGGAAATTTTTGAGGATTCTCAACTATCGCTCAAAGGACCTCCTCTAATTCATTCATTCACCTGATTCTTGAGTGGCTACAATAAGTCAGGCAGAGTTCTAGACCCTTGGGGGTATATCAATGAACAATAACAAAGATCTCTGACCTTGTGGAGTTCACATATTATAGGGGAGGGTGAAAATAAACAATAAAGAAACATGATGAATATGCAAATTATTTAAATGCTATGAACAAAAGGAATACCCATGTAAGCAATTGAGAGTACCAAAGAGGTGGTGGTGGTGGTGGTGGGGGTGGTGGTGGTGGTGGTGGTGGTGTGTGTGTGTGTGTGTGTGCCCTCATTGAGAATGTGATGTTTGAACAGATTTGAGGGTTGAAAAGTTAGCTATTAGGCTCTCTGTGGAAACAGTTCCAGGTCAAGAGGATATCCGATGTAAATGCTCTAAGGCCAGAGCTTGCCTGGCATGTCCCAGGGACACTGTGGCTGGACTGGAGAGAGTAAGTGGAAGAGAGGCAAGAGCCGAAGGAAAATAAGTTATCCTCTGCTTTTACTTCCTGCCGTCAGCTGTCATTAGGACAAGGATGAATCTCTCTTCTTCCAGGGCGCCTCTTCAGTCAGCAGCAACAGTCAGCTCAGAATAAGATGCATCAAGGAGTGCTTCTTCAGGCGCCCAAATGCCACTTACATTTCGTGGACTTTCTTGAAAATGTCCACTCTACACAGGAAGGTATAAGGGTGGATTAAAGTCACATATAAGAGGCTTTTGAAGACAGAAAAGCTCTCTTAGCAGGCTTTGGTGTGTCGTGTGTGTGATGCAAAAAAAAGATGAATTCTGGGTTCCTCTAATTAACGTTTTGATATCATTTTTTTAACTTGAAAAATAGAATGGCTGTACCAGATGCTCTTACATCTTCTTTCACTCCTGGCATTTTAAATCTTAATAACCAGCTCTTTCCCAACACTGTGGCTGATTGTTCACCTCCCCTGGATCATGTATCCCTAATCCCTGCCTAAAACTCCCCTCCGGTTTTAAGTCACTGGTTAAATCTAAAAACCAGAATGATTAGGTTCAAGTAAGTAGAAGTGATGTTTTGAGGAATAAGCAGGAGCCTTGGGGGCAGGGTCCTCAGGATCAGAGGGGGCTTGGAGCAGGCACCATGTCATGGGACTGAGGCACGACTCAGTCCAGTGCCAGAGGAGAGCCCTGCTCCAGGCGTGGCTGTCCAAAGTGACAGGCTCTGGATTCCATTACACAATAGCCATTGCCATTCTTGAGATGCCCCCTAAATGTAATCACACACACATGGAAACACACAGTATCAGGACAGATAGATGATGTCTACACCAACTCCTCTCTGATGACAGGTTCTATCATGATAGCGTGGCAGTAAATGGGGCAGAGTCACCCAATGACACATACAGTCAGGAGTGCACTCAAAAGTGATTTAATGGAGGGAGAGCAGGAAACATGCATTGCTTCCCATTCAGATTCCCTCTTCAGATGAACCCTAAGCAGCTGAGACCAACAAAACCACTAAGACCCCTGCTTAACTTAGAGGCCCATGGGACCTCTAAAATGAGTGTAAGGAAGGTTTCATAGCACATATTTTGAGATGCAAGTAAGAAAGACATGGTGACTCATGGTGAGAACATACTGATTATAAGATCTGCAGACAGTTAAGACACAGAAACGGAAGGGAAGGTGTTCAGTATCCTGTGGTCAGCTCCTCAAGGGCGTGGCAGTGGACCACATGACTTCTGCTTGATCTTCTGCTGGGATGGGCCCATAGTAACCTGGAACCTTAGGGTGACTCAGATCTTGTACCTTGGTGGGGTTAGGCGGAGGAACCTCATTAAAACCTTGGTGGCTTCAGCTGTCAGTTAGTGGGCAGGATTTGAGGTCCTTGGCCTGTGAGTCTGAGTGGATTGTTGGCTCCAGTGTACCTACCAGAAGATCAAAATTGGGATGGAGCTGTGTGGAGGGATGAGACATAGGGGCTACCCCAACCAGGATGTGGCATCCCATCCTTGGGCTGCTGATCTGGGACCTGCTGCAGAGCCTCAGGAATGTTCTTGATGGGCAGAACGTACATTTATTCTAGCAACATCTTCACTGACTTTTTTATTTTCTAATATCAGGATTAGAAGTTCTACAAAAATCAAATAGCATTGTATAATGCATAAAGTGGGAAAACAGGGCTATTAAAAAATGAACACTAACATATAAGCAGCCAGAAATAGCCATAGTTATATTTTGCTTTATTCGGTGTTGTTTTATTCAGGATATATTTTTTCCCCTGTAAACCCAGACACATGCATCCATTATTAAAAAGATGTTTTGGCTTATATTGTTTAGTATCTGCTTTTGTAATAATATAATCGGAACTTTTCCCAATAAGACTAATCATTTTCCTACAACAATCTTGTTAATGCCTGTAGTATAATCCCAGCACAGACATCTCATCCGTTGTTGCATTATCTATTGATATGCATTTCAGTGTTATCAACTTTTTTTTGTATTAGATACAATGCTGAAACAAATATCCTCATGTATAAAATATTTGTGTACATGCATGAATATTTCCTAAAAATAAAATTCTGGAATCAAATGATCATTCAAGAGTCAGGTAGATCGTTAAACCTTTTGATTCTTTCCTGCCAAACTCTTCTTTATGATGTTTAAACTATATTTATAAAATCTGTGTATTACAGAGTCCATTTCCCCATTAAGAATCAGCCTATTTAATTGTGAGTGGCTCAGAGTTATCGCTAGACTCTTCCACTATTGAAATCAGCAGAAACATGAAGCCACTTCAAATGTGCATACCAGGCAGACCCAAGACACGTCATTCCCTTCTGCCAGTGTGACAACTACTCAGCACATTGTACTAACTTGTTGGACGGTTTCTGTCTTGCAGTTTCCAAAGATTTCCGAGTTCTTGCCAACTCTGTTTGGAGTGCTTGTGCATCATGTCACTCAGATACTATCTGTCACCTGCCTCACACCTGCTAGGTGTTATGGACCATCAACCTTGTCAAGAAATGGGCTTCACTTCCCAGTGACCACTGCAGCCATTCTGAAATTTTATGTTGGCTTTACTGGTTTTGGAAAAAAGCTCCCTAAAATCTCAGACCCACTCAACAAAGACCTGCAAACCTATTGATCACCCTTGAGATCAAAAGTGGCTGCAGGAGAAAGTTAGGGTCTAGATATATAGAGATCTAGGCTCTAGGTGTGATTCAGAAACAATTTCTCGTTGGTCTCAATCTTCTTCTCCTTTCTGGATATCAGTTTCTTTATCTGGAAATTCAGGGGCTGTACTAGGTGCTATTTAACTCTCCTTTCACTCCTGACATTTTATAGCTTAATGACATGCTTTCCACCAGTTCCTGGCTAGTTATCCACCTCACTTGGATCACTTACTCCTCCTCGTAATCTCTTCTTCAAACTCAGATCCTTTTTCTAATCTCTTGATAGATAGCTGTCCGTGGTTTATTTTGGGAGGAACACTATCTGAAGTTGGTGCGTGTGGTTGTATATATGTTTATATGAGGACCTGAATATTCTATCTCCCAGAGAAGACTACAGATTCTCTGAGGGGAGGCACTGTGTATCCTCCTCTCCCTCTTCCTGGTATAGATACTATCAGGCCTCCCTGCACATGATGGGTGCCCAGCAAAAGATAACATTGTCTGAGCTGAGGACTGAGCTATATGGATAATTAGGTGTGTGTGGCTACTTGAATAAATGTGCCTCTTTCTGAGTGTATGTCTGTATGTGTTGGATGTCTGGAAGGTAAAATGAATGAAGAAAACCAGAATAATTGGATTCAAGTATGTAGCAGTGATGTTTTGGGGAATAAGCAGGACCCATGGGGGCAGAGTCCTCAGGATCAGAGGTGGCTTGGAGCAGGCACCATGGGACTGAGGCATGACTCAGTCCAGTGTCAAAGGAGAGCCCTGCTCCAGGTGTGGCTGCCCAAAGTGACAGGCTCTGGGTTCCATTACACAATAGCCATTGCCATTCTTGAGATGTCCCTTAAATGTAATCACACACACACACACACACACACACACACACACACACACACACACACACTCATGGAAGCACACAGTAACAGGACAGGTAGATGATGTCTACACCAATTCCTCTCTAATTGCAGGTCCTAGAACAGGAAGGGGCAGATTTACTCACTAAGACAAGCAGCCAAAAGTGGGATTAAAGTGCTTTAATAGGGACAGAGCAGGAAACAGGCATTGTTCTCATCCAGACTGACTCTTCAGGTGAGTCCTGAGCAACATAGGACCAGCAGAGCCACTCAGGCCTTCTGCATAATTCAGAGGCTCAGAGGACTCTTCAGAGTGTGCAAGGAAAAGTCTCATAGCAAATATTTTTTAGGATGCAAATAAGAGAAAGGTTCTGACTGATGGTGAGAACATACTGATTACTAGGTCTACAGATAATCAAGACACAGAAGCAGAAGGGAAGAAGGTATTCAGCATCTGGTGATCAACTCCTCAAGGGCATGGCTGTGGTCCACATTACTTCTGCTTGGTCTTCTGCTGGGCTGGGCCAGGAGTAACCTTTGAAGGAAATGGCTCAGGGACCTGAGGCTGGCCAGGCTGAGGGACTTTAGGGTGGACTGGCTCAGGAAGCTTGGTGTGACCCTTCTCAGGAAACACAGGATTGCCTGGTTGAGGATGCTGAGGGTAGTATGGCTCTGAAATATCTTTTTGGCCTGGTTGAGGATGCTGGGGGTTGTATGGCTCTGGAACTTTGGTTTGGCCTGGTTGAGGATGCTGGGGGTAGTATGGCTCTGGAACCTTGGTGGGGCCAGGTTGTGGAATGTTGGTTTGGCCAGGTTGTGGAACCTTGGTGGGGCCAGGTTGTGGAACCTTGGGGGGGCATATCGCCTTGGTTATAGGAACAGATGGTTCTTGAGGTGGAGGCTGGAAGGGCTGTTTCACCTGCTGCTGCTGAAGCTGGGGAGGTGGGTTGGTGGGCTGCTTCTGCTGGTGGGAACTCATGGTTCAAAGGAGGCTGGACCTAGAGACAGAAGAGTTGACCCAGTGATTTGGTGAAACAAGGAAAAAGACAAATTTAATGTTCAATATATCTGCTAGTGTGTCCCTTCAGATGTGAGAGCCTCTCTTCTCTTTCTCTCTCCACTGAATCAATGGAAACTTTGTTGATCCCTGTGCCCTTTCAAGGAGAGAAGCTTAAAGGTGCTTTATTCTGCTCCATATGAGTGGACCCCTGGCCTATCCTTCCTTTCTTCCTGGTGATTCTGAAAACCTACATTGGAAGCAAAACACAACATTGGCTCCCAGGATTGATCAAGTCCCCAGGATTTTAATAATTTGGGAGGATGATAAAGTCAAAAGTCTAAGATCTACCTCTCAAGTCCACCACATAGCTCTCCTAAGAAAACTGCACACCAGCCTGCCCTGAGCCACATGATTCCACCTCTGACCCTCTGTCCACATCCTCTCCTCTGTACATGCTTTATGGAAGGCTTTCCATCCTGTTGCTATTTCCACACATGTTCACACATCCTCCCAGACACTCTTTGTCAAATCTAAGTCACCTTCCTCATTTGCCACAGCACAATACCTGCCTTGTCCTCTCTGTTAATCACTTTTCTCGAAGTATGTTTGTAAATTATGCCCATGTTCTATGTTCTTTGAAAAATGGTAAGTTAATGGATTAAAGAAAAAGCTATCTTTTGAACATCCAAATCATCAGTGTCACAACATTTCAAAAACTCAGTAATGATTAGAAGAAGTATTAAAAGTCACTAAAAGTACCCTGGTCATGGTGTAGTCTCTATCCTGTAACTGAACAAATCATCATTACAGAAACCATTCCCCTTTTTTTTATCCCAAGTTTCATAGTTACAATCTGAGTGGGAAGTCCACAGACCTGAATGTCACCTTAAACACAAATTACCATTGCATTTAAAGTAAATATATTTTTAGCATGACAAACATACTCCAAACAAATAAAATACAATTGGGCACATATTAAGAAATTACAAGTAGAGAGACTTACCTGGTGCAGAGAAAAGTTCAAGCTGTCTGGCCTCTTGGGTCTGGTGCGGAGTCTCTGGCCAGCTAGCATTTTATACAGAATGTGAGCCCTGCCTTAAGGAAGTGGAAGTTTTTTTGGAATGCCCTATCTTTATTCCAGCTTTTGTAATGAAAATCTCTGGCTTAACTTTTTTTGGCACTTACTCTTTGACAAAAATATCACCTTGGGCTTGGTCCCACTGTCTACCCTTTGTGATGAAGTTGGTATGGATAACAGGATTCCTGGGTGGTGATGAGTTATGTCAGGGGGAAGTTCTGGGTTCTGGGACCAGGAACAAGTGTGTTTCTTGGATAGAAACCTGGTCTTTAGCTCAGATTAATTCTATTGAGTACTTTAATTTTCTAAGCGGATGTGGAGATGAACAATAGGCACTACTGGTTCTTCTGGGAGGTTCCAAAGAATAGTAGGTGAATCATCTGATCTTTACTTAAGTGACTATTCAGTACGTGACAATAAGTGAACAATATGCTGTTCCATTTCTTAGCAGATCCAGCCCTTTGGGAGGAAAGGAAAGGCTGAAATGCCTGCTTTAGAAATGAACTGTTTTTACTCTGGTGAGAGACTTAAGATGCCATGCTGACCAAGGACAGTAGATGTCATTGGGGATGGAGATCCAGGACTAACTGGGTCTGTTCAACATGATGCACAGCCCTGAAGACCTTGCCTCTCATGGGTTCTCTTTTATCATACACCAGTCATGTCCTCAGATCATGGTAAGATGAAACAGAGGTCACTAACCCCGAGTTGACCTCAACATGCAATCTTGTGCTAGGTGTGCCCCTGGAGAAATCCAAACAGCCTTAAAACTCAAGTATGTGAATGGCTCCTCCCTTCCCACTTCTTTACCCTTGTGTTACCTACCATGAACCTGAACCCTTAGGCAGAGCCAATGCTATGAAGTCCTTCCATCAGATCCCAAAGGTCTATTTGCACTTTATCCTCATGCCAGTCTGGTAAATGTTCAGTCAATGGGCAATTTTCATTTTCTCTGATGGATGTGTAGTTTTGTGGAAGGAAGGAAGGAAGGAAGGAAGGAAGGAAGGAAGGAAGGAAGGAAGGAAGGAAGGAAGGAAGGAAGGAAGAAAGGGAGAGATAGAAAAATCATTGTTTTAGAGAGGTGTCTATAAATTGCTTTGATAATCATAAAGCCACTACTTGAAAATGACTCACTTTCTTATGACAGGTCTCATGATATAATCTGAGAAGAGGGTGAGGGCTCACCACCCTCTTCCTCTGCTTCCTTTCCCACCCATCTTCTTCTCTCTCTGCTAGTGTCGGACTAGTCACCTACCTCTGGGATGGTGCCAGTGCCACCATGATACCTAAACTCTACTTCCTGGTATCACATTAGCTCTCCTCTGGGGTTGGGTCCAGGTCCAAAACCATCTCTCAAGATCCCCTAGCAGAAGGAGCTTTGACCAGACTCTGCTGTTTCACCTGGGATTCTTATCTCCTGAGGTACCTACTCCTCTAAACGAATCTGGGTCTTTCTCGTGTCCTATCTTGATCCTGGACTTTGGTTCTAGAAGAAAGGCCTTTCTCATTTCCTATTTTTTTTCCTGGGTGGGCTTTCTCCTGCCCTGTCCTGATAACTTGTTCACTCTTATAAAAGCCTCTCTGGCATCAGCCTCTAGGACTTCTCATTTTACCCAATCCTGTTGTTCCTTTTTGTTCGGACAACATACTCAGTGTCTGGGTGTTAAGGCTCTTTCTGCCCTTCAGAGAAGCCTGGTTTGTTCACCAGTGTGCATGCACTAAGGAGACTAACCCCCATTGCAGAGCGTGAATCACATCACTTCTGATAGAGAGTCCTGCTTCCAGAGGTGCCTTGACCTTTCCTGGCATTAGGAGGCTGCTTCTTTCCCCATATCAATGGCCTAGGCCAGTGATGGCGAACCTTTTGAGCTCGGCGTGTCAGCACTTTGAAAAACCCTAACTTAACTCTGGTGCTGTGTCACATAGAGAAATGTTTTGATATTTGCAACCATAGTAAAACATAGATTTTTGATATTTATTTTATATATTTAAATGCCATTTAACCAAGAAAAATCAACCAAAAAAATGAGTTCGCGTGCCACCTCTGACACGCGTGTCATAGGTTCGCCATCACTGGCCTAGGCCTTGCTTGAGACCTGAATGTGGACGATATTGGGTAACTTTAAAAGTTTCCGGGCCTTGCTCTTTTGTCATGACTGTGTAGACTGTTCCCACATAATTCCTTGGACTCTTTCTTTTCTTGAGCCTAGGTTCCAGCATGGTAACAGCCTGCAGCCCAGTGGGAACTCCCTTACTGAACAGTTCTCATCTACACCAGATACTGTCTTCTGTTATCTTCAGCACACATGGAGACTCAAGATGCTGCTGGGGCCGAGGAAACCAAGACCCACCCATGCAGAGAACCAAAATTGCATTTCTTTATCTGCACAGGGGACGCCTGCATCCAAGCCAGCAACATGCAGTTTATCTCCTGTGTGTAGTTTGTGCCTCAATTTCCTCACACAGACACAGTATCCTACCCTCTGCTATTGGCTGGGTAAATGGCATTCTACAAATAGAGAGAAAGGAGCTGAGGCAAGAGGAGGAGCTCAGACCGGTCGGAGAACTCTACCTCTGCCAGATAACCTTGAGGTCACAGGTTCAAAGGCAATGGGCAAGACTGGAGTCCTTGGTTGTGAGTGGGGTGGAGGGAGTGGTGTTCTGGGGGATTTTTCACAAAAAGATTTAGAATTGTATTGGGGTTTATATGGGATATCATTTTTTAAAAGACTTCACTGTGATCCTCTCCCCACCCTTTGGGGCCGCTGGCCTGGAAACTTGCTGAAGGACTCAGGAAGTTTCCAGAATAAAAGTTCTGGAATAAATGTTTCCTCTACCTCATCAACATCTTGGAGTGCTTTAATTTTTTAAAATATGTAAAGCAAGTGTTATCAATAAAAATATTTTCAATTTATGGTATTGAAAATGATTAAAATATAGGGATGTTCAAAGAATAAAATAAATAATTCCTTTTACTGTCCAGCCAAACATGCCGCTGTTTATATTTTGCTATATTTATACTGGCAGGTTTTAAAAGATTTATGCATGTAGACATACATTTTAACAAAGGTATAACTATGTAATTATGTATTACATGCCATGATATTTTACATAACCTTGACATTGTCTGAACATTTTTCCATATGATAACAAAGGTATAACTATGTAATTATGTATTACATGTATTACATAACCTTGACATTGTCTGAACATTTTTCCATATGACTAAATATTATTGTATGACCTTAGTATATTCCATGACATAAATACACAATAACTTGTTCAATTAATTTTCTCTTTGGGGGAATTTATTTTGTTTCCCTTCCATCCTTTTCTTTTCCTTTATTTTTGTTATTTTATAATGTTGAAATGATTCTCCTTATAAATAAATCTTCGTGCCCATCAATGCATATTTCCCAGTGGAATACAGAGGGTATGCAAATGTTTAAGGATTTTCATTCATTTTGCGCAACTCAACTCCTCCTGTGATGGCTCCTTGACTTTATACCCTTCTGGCTGTGTATCACCAGTGTCCCTGACTGTGGTCAGCCCCTTTAAAGCTGACTGCTCCTGTAGATTTTAGTGACATTTTCCATCATGTCAATGTGTAGTCATTTGAAATCACCTGAACATGTTGTGCAAACCTCACAAACCCAGATGATGTCATTCTCTCCTGCCAGTCTGATAATGACTCCTGGACCTGCAAAGCTTTGTTGAACACTTTTTGTCTTATCACCTCCAAATCTGGACTTCTTCCCAAACCTACCTGAGTGCTGTACATCATGCAGGAACTAATGTTGACCCCTGGATATCCGTTTGTTGATTTGGAATATGATGACATTTTGTCTTATCTGTATTAACCTCTTTTCCTCCGAAACCTTCCTAAATGCTTCTTTTCTTTTTTCCTATGATGCATTTGCTTTCATGTTCTACTCTGTGAGGTACCTGTATGTGTGTATGGATGGAGAGAGAGAGAGAGAGTGTAAGTTTACATAGGAAAAGGGGTAAAGATCACCTCTCTTAGGCTTCTCCTAGGGCAGGCACTGTGGAGTCTACTCTCCTGCAGCATTGAGGTCTTCTTATTGCTCATTCAGTGAAAGATAATCAGCATGCATGTGTGTGTGTTGTGTGATTTTTGGGATTTGTGTGGTGTGTAGTGTGTGTGTGTGTGTGTGTGTGTGTGTGTGTGTGTGTGTGTGTGTAGGAGTCTACCTGTATGTGTTTCTCTGTCGTGAATGTGTGGGTAGGGGTGTGTGTGTGTGTGTGTAGGAGTCTACCTGTATGTGTTTCTCTGTCGTGAATGTGTGGGGAGGGGTGTGTGTGTGTGTGTGTGTGTATTTGTGTCTGAGAGTGAGTGTTTAAGTGCTTGCCTTCCATGTGTTGTGGCATCAGGAAGGGAGGATGAGTGAGGAACAGATAATCACATTGGAATATGTACAAGCACTATTTCTTTGGAATAATAATAAATAATAGAATAAACTGAACAGAATGAGGGCTATTTGAGAACAAGGACTCAGAGGCAGAGATGGCTTGAAGCAGGGACCATCTATATTCAGATATGATGCACTCAGGGGCAAAAAGAAAGCCCTGCTCTGACTGAGGCTGCCCAAAGTAACAGGCTCTGGGTGGCCTTGACCGCTCTTCCATTGGCAGCTCAGGAACATCTGGTGAATACAACAGTCACACATACACATCTGCACGTTCTCAGTGCCTGCATGAGGCCCCTCCTGACATCCGCCCTCCTAACCAGTCCTGCTGTGTGCAGTTCCGACTTCATGTTGAGAGACCAGTGCAAAAAGCTGAGTCAGCCAATGACACACGTAGCCAGTTATATTGTTACAAATGATTTAATGGGGGCAGAGCAGGGAAGAGTCACTTGATTTCTCCTCCCTCCAAAAAATCACTCTTCAGATGAGCCCTGGGCTCAGGAGCCCTCCAAACTGAGTGTGAGGGACATCTTTCTGGAGGGTGCAAAGAGGGAGGGATTATGACTCAGGGTGACAGCATGCGAATGGTAAGTGGGACAAATACGCAGAATGGAAGAGGGGATTCAGCATTCAGTGGTTGGTTCTTCAAGGACATGGACCACATTACTTCTGCTTGGTCTGCTGAACTGGTGCTGGAATGACCTTGGTGTGGCAGGGCTCAGGAACCTTGGGGTGGCAGGGCTCAGGAACCTTGGGGTGGCAGGGCTCAGGAACCTTGGGGTGGCAGGGCTCAGGAACTTGGGGGTGGCATGGCTCAGGAACCTTGGGGTGGCAGGGCTCAGGAACCTTGGGGTGGCATGGCTCAGGAACCTTGGTGTGGCATGGCTCCTTGGTTTGGGGAGCACATGGTTCCTGGGGTGGAGGCTGGCAGGGCTGTTTCACCTGCTGCTGCTGAAGCTGGGTGGGTGTGGTGCAGGGCTGCTTCTTCTGGTGGGAGCTCATGGTTCAAAGGAGGTTGGACCTAGAGCCAGAACAGATGGTTTAAACAGGGATTAGCTAGGAAAGAAGCCTCGTTCAATGCCAAGTAGGTTTAATTTCAGACCTTTCATGAGAGTGAGCCTCATCGCTCCCCTGGCAGACCTCTTACATTTGAGAGTAAAATATGCTTTGGTAATTTCTAGGCCCTCTCAGGGGGAGGAGCTTAAAGGCAGTTTGTTGGATCCATTTCAGTGGAATTCATTGCTCAGCTCCCTTTCTTCCCCAGATATGTCACATCCCTACTGACAAGTACACATAGTGGGTCTTTGGAAAAATGATATCTTAGAAATGACTACAGTATACCCACTCCTAGTACTACACAGCACTGTGACTTGTAGGATGACTCATATGAATTCAAGCTCCTGCAACCTGACTCTGGCCTTTGCTTACACAGCCCCCTCTGGAATTCTTTTCTTCCCATCTTTGCTGTCCAAATACTCCTCCATTGTAGCTCATATCATGTGCCATCGCTTGGAGCTCTTCATGAGTGGGGCTTCCCAACTGCCACAGCCCTTCCCTGTCCTTTCCTCATACCAATCACTGTCTACTCCTACTAGTATATACTAGTATGTACATGCATTATCTTCCCTGCTAGATTGTGAGTTTGTTGAGTAATTTCCTATGGGTATGTGTTACCCAAAGTGCTTAAATATAATAAAGGCTTGGTAGAGGTCTATCATATGAATTAAAATGTTATAATAAGTTTCATGAATAGAGAGGACAGTGGTGTTTCTGAGAGTCTCTGGGCCTGAGTTCTAGTTGTAAGCCTGCTTTTAACTATGGTGGGATCTTACACCGATCTGTCCCCTTCCCTGAGCCCAGTTCCAAAGCTGCCCACTGAGGTGGCTGATGTAACCACCTATTAAGTTCTCTTCAAACCCAAACTATGCTTTAATTTAAAATAAAAAATATCCCAATGGTCTCACTCTCCATTCAATACCCTGCACCAGCCCTCTTACACATTTGCCTCTGCCCAGTTTCTAATAATGAAAAAAATCAACAATCTGGTTCCAATCAGAGACTCACCTGGTACGCAGTGAAGAACAGGTCTCCTGGTCCCTCTGATCTGGTGTAAAATCAATGGCCAGCTGGCTTTTTATAAGATGACTGAGCCCTGCCTTTGGAAAATTGGATCATCCCAGGCCCCTCTGTTTTCATTCCTCACCTGTCAAAGATGATTCACCCCACTCCCCTCAATTACCAGTTGGCTCACCTTTGGTGATGAAAACCACCCACTTGGTAATTTTTGGCACTGGCTGCCTGCCAGCGATGTCACCTGGGCCTAATTCCCACGGCCAGCCTCCCCCGTGTACCCAAGTATAGGACTCGTGTTGGGGTGGGGTGAGCCATAGGTCTCCTGGGGAGTTTTATAAGTTAATCCCGGAGGGAAATCTGAGTGCTTCTGTGATCTTGCCACCTTTCAGCTCTCTTTTTCCTTGAGATGGCTGCTCTTCTCATGTTCTGTGGGATAGAATACATTTGGGCACATGAACAAGTGGGAAAGGGAAGGGGAGCAGAGGAGCGGAGGTGGGCGGGCACCGGTTGCCTGCCTTATACCAGTAAAGGTAGATGGATGCTAGAGCTCATGGAATTGACTGAAGGTAGACTCCTTGTCTGCGGGATTTAAAACCATTACATCCCTTTCTCCCATCTTTCTCCTCACTCCACTGAACCACACCCATTCAGAATTACTTAATTATTAGCTCCCCCAACCCCACCCCTCCCGGACTGGTTGCTAATCTGGGGAAACCTGCTTTGCTTTCACCAACCACACCTTCACCCCTTTCCTATTTAAGAGATTTTCAAGGGATAATTCATCTTCTGGGGTAACTTCCCCTCTACTCCACCCAGTCTTCTGGCCATGGCCCTTTCCTCCTTCCTTACCCAACTATACACCACCCCCAACCTGAAATCCTGGAAGCCCTTTCTAACTGCCTGCACCCCAAGCCCATCCATGGAGTTCTCAGTGATGAACACCACCCTGCTCCCCAACTCTTGCTCACTTCCAACTCCAGCCTCAACTCCTGGAGCTCTTGCTGGCTGCAATGCTTCCCTCGCCCCCTCTGGCTCTGAATCTCCTGGGGGCTTTCTGAGTGTTGGAGCTATGCCTGCTCAAAACGATGGTAATTCAATAAATATTTATTCATTCAGAATCCTTCATATACACCAGGCATGGCTCATTCTAGGAGCTCGCTATAGGAAGACCACTTTTCCTCATCAGATCAGGAACTCCCTGGGGCGAGAGACACAGCCTCTAGTGTAATGGATTTCAGGGAGCCTCAGGCCACACTTGTCACCTGGTGATGGGGAGTTGAGGTCACAGGAAGTGAAGTAACTCCCCCAAAGTCAAACAACCCCATGAGAAAAGGACTTTTACACAGAAATCCTATGTTCTCCTCAGTCTTAACCCCTCCTAGTGCCTACAGAGGAAATGAAGCAGAACATGATTAAAGGTGGACAGGGGGAGCCCAGGCTTCCTGGCTTGGAGCTGGGTCCACTCAGCGTCCTGGGAAAGCTTTGAGTGTGTGGCAATGTGAAAAGACATAAAGAGGCTTTCCGAATTTGGGTGAGCCCTTAATGGTTGCCAGGACGAATCCGCTTAAGTAGTCATAAATCTGCTTAATGTTTGAAGTGGCTGTGGGGATAAACAGAAGGCATTTCTAGCTCTGCTAAAAATGGGAGGGGACATTAATGAACAGAGGTGGAAATAAGGCACTAATTAAGTTCCTCACCCCTCACGGGCCAGGGTCTGAGAGGAACGAAAAGGCTAAAATGCCTGTTTTGAACCAGAGTTGCTTTCGCTCTGTTGGAGGTCCCAGGGTGGCACAGTGACAGGGACCGGTACCCTGACCTCAGTGACACTGAGGATGGCAGAAGGTGGGCAGCCTCTAAGCACCTGCCCAGGTGCACCTTCCTTCCACTCTGGGCAGGTCCGGAAGATTCTTTGCTGTGGTCTCTTTCCTGGGGCCAGAAGAACAGTTATTCCTTGAGAACTTACACCAGCCATTTCCTTTGATCAACACAAAATAAAACTGAAGTTCAGAGCTGCCTTCAAAACACAATCTATTCCTAGGTGTGGCCTTAGGAAAATCCAAATCACCTTATAACCCAGGTGTGTGGACAGTTCCTCCTCCTCATTCCTCTCCACTGTCACACTTAAATATTTGGGGAGCACCTGCTGGCTCCCCAGCTGAGTCACCTCTTGTTAACTTTAGTCGTGGGTCAGCCTCCCACTGTGTCCTCACAACCATTGGTCCACGTCCATCCTTACACACGGTGCCTGGTGGGCAGTAGCTGCTCAGTGAGCTTGTGATTACAGAATGACTGACTGAATGAATGAAGGATTGAATGAATAAATTAATGAATGGCATTGTTTGTAAAGAGAGGCCCAGAGACTGCTGGAGAGTCTCTCATCTTCAGAGATAAGCTGAGAAAAGGCGTCTCAGACAAGGACAGCCCTTCCACTGCTTTCCCCACACACCTGCTTCACTGTTTAACAATCCGCCTCTCTCTGGGCTTCCACCAGCACCGTGGCCACACAGAGCTCTAAGCTCCTTCCCTCACGTTAGCTCCCCTCTGGGCTTGAGCCAAGTCCCTCTCTTCACCCAACGCCCTCCCAGGAGCCCCTGACAGAGGGAGCACCCGGAAAAGCCTGGCATAATTCTCAGCCCCAAGGAAGCTGCTTTCTGCTCCTCTGCTCTCCCCACCCAGCTGTCTCAGCCCTGAGGATCTGAACCTGCTCTGAAGCTGGGTCCCCTGTGCCCTCCTTTGGCCTTGGCTCTGGATAAAAGAGTTTCCCCGTCACCCAGTACCCGCACTGGCCAGGCTCTCCTGTCCCCACCTGGGCTTCCTTCTCTCCACCCCACACTGCTCCGGCTCTGTCTTTGGAACTTTCCCTTGACCCCCATTTGTTTACCTGATGCTCACTCAGTGGCTGGTGTTAAGTCCGTTCTCCCCTTCGGGTAAGCTTTGATTCACTATCAGGGTTGGCCTAGCTGGTGAATCCGGTCCTACAAACTCCCCACATTAAAAAAAGGGGGAAAGCAATGGCCTCTAACGGGAAGGCCATCTCCCAGGGTTGCTCAGCCTGTGGCAGAAGCCCCTCCTATGTTCACAGGGGGCTGCTGCTCTTCCCTAATGCGAGCCTGGCTCTGCTTTGGACCAGCTGTGGGATCTTCCATAGCTCAGAGCTGCCTCTGGCTCACCACCCACTTACAGAGCAGGGCAGACTGGCCCTGAGCCTGACCAGTGATCAGGCCCTTCCTGACTTAGGTGGCTCCCTCCTCCTTTACTTCCCGAGGCTCAGAGCAGGCAGAGAATGTCACGCAGACGTTCAGTTCCAGTCATTTCACCGTGGTAGCCCATATTTGAAATATGGCAACCTCAAGAAACAAGCAGTATTAAGAGAATTTTACTTTCATCCTCACCATGATCACCGAGAAGAGCAGAGGACTGGCTGCTTGTTGCAGGTCATGATAATGAAAAAGAAAAGTCTCTGTAAGGCACAGGCTCCCCATCTGAAAATGAGGAGGGGAAGGAGGAAGCAACACCAGGTCCCTGGGGCATGGAAGCCTCCTGAGCACTTTGGCCCGCACGTAGGGGAAGCGAAGGTTGCAAGCATGGATGCAGAGGTGAAGAGAGCACTGTCCTACAGCGAGGAAGGGACGTGTAGGGTAGGGAAGGGACTTGGTCCAGGCTTCCCAGCTTGCTTAGCAGCAGAATTAGACCTGGGATACTATCTCCATGCCACTATCTTCCTTTTTTATCTTTCCAATGCCTAAGGGATGGAGAACCATTTAAATATCTTCTTTGCTTGAGGCAGGTAAAAAAGAAAGAATCTAGGTTACTGTCTGGCCCAGTTGTTTCAAAACCTTGTTCTGCCCTTGTTAGTTGGGTGACCTTGAGCAAGTTGCCTAACCTTTCTGCACTTTAATGTCCTCGTCTTTAAACTGAGACCTTCAAACTATACTCTGCAAGGTGATTGTAAAGATTAAATGAAATGATGCTTCAGACATTTTTAGGATGAACGGGCTAAAAATGTTGTATGTAATGATTCTTGCTAATTTGTCTCATTTTTTCCTCTTCTTTCACTTGAATCAGATGAAACTTCTTCCTATTGTTCCTATTGTCTGTGTGTTTTCCTTTTTCAGCTGAGAGAGAGAGAGAGAGAGAGAGAGAGAGAGAGAGAGCGCTTTTTAACTACCTTCTCTTTTTCCACTAAACTTTCAGGAGTACATATTGGCAAGATTTTACCGTGAGTTATTGGATAGTAGCACTGACTGCAAAGTCCATTATATGAGTGGGGGCACAGAGGATGGTTAAAATTTCTGGTGATTATACAATGGGCTGAACATGCCCTAGATAAAGAAACTGAGGCAGAAAAAGGTTAAGTAACTCTCCCAAGAGGTTACAAAGATAGAATGAGCCAGGATACGGTCCCTTAGCAACTCTGCCACATTGCTTCTCAATACTAGTAAAGCATGGGCTTTTCTATAAGCGGGGGGTGGGGGGGGTGGGGGGGGTGCGCGCTACTCTCAGAAGAGACACTGACTGGGTCCTGATGTTCCCACACAGCTGAAGTGATCAATTGCTCATCTATTATCAATTTGGCATAAAGTTTCCCTGGGTATGGATGATCGAAAGACACAGGTAGACAACTATTTTTAGTGGAGGATATTGAGTTTGAAATGGAATTTGGGATGTTTTAGGCTATATTAGGTGTGATCCCCTTTCGATTACTTATTGCTTCTTGGGCTGTTGAAAGGGCACAGTGACAAGCACACAGCTAAGCATTTTCCACAGAGAGTTCAGAACCCCACTGGAGGTGACTACTCTTTGTAGGTGTTGGTCTCACCTTTGTTTGTTCAGCTGTGCCAGCTCCCCTGATCCACCTCTGAGAGCCAGCACCTCCAGAGTACAGAGTGGCCTCTATAGGTCACGGGTGTGGAAACATAAAGTCCTGGGTTCAATTTCTGCCCCAGGTCCTTCCTAGCTGTGTGTGTATGACATTGGGAAAGTTTCTTAATAACAATAGCTCCCATTTGATTGGCACCCACAAGATGTTATACTTTGTTCTGAACACTTGACGCTAATTGTCATAACAGCAGTGCTAGGAATAGATTGTTAAACCCATTCTACAGATGTGGAAGTTGAAGCACAAATAAGACACCTGCTCAAGTTTATGTGGCAAATAGGTGGCACGTTCAAGATGCAAATCCAGTATTGTGACTCCAAGGCCTTTATGAATCTCAGTTTATCTTGCCCATACATTAGAAATGATAATATTGGCTTCCAGGCTGTTATTAAATGGGATGACATATGCGAAGTAACTACTGCAGTGACGAGAGCATACTCCGTGGATACAAGATGTCAGTGCATTTCATCTCCTTAGGATCAGAAACACATGAATTATTAGAAACTCATCTCCAGTGACTCAGAACGTTTCACAATTTTCTTGGTCTGTGAAGTAGTCATTTGTCTAACACATGTTGCTGAGTGACAACCAAATATCAAGCTTGAAGTCTGGCAGAGAAATAGGCAGCATTTGGTGAGTTTCTGAGACCCAATACCGATTGGTGAGGAGTGTTTCCCTGACCTAAGCATAAGAACCACTTGAGATGCGGTTAAAACTACAGCTGCATTGTATCAATATACCACAGCTTTTTAAAATCCACTTACTGTTTCCAGATCTTAGCTATTGTAAATAATGCTGCTATGAACATATATTCTTCCTGATTGGTGTTTCAGGATTCTTAGGATATATTCTCAGAAGTGGGATTGCTAGATCAAACAGCAGTTCCATTTTTAATTTTTTGAGGAATCTTCATACTGTTTTCTATAGTGGCTGCACCAGTCTGCATTCCAACCAGCAATGTACTAGGGTTCCCTTATCTCCACATCCTCGCCAGCACTTGTTTGTTGATTTATTGATGATAGTCATTCTGGTAGGTGTGAGGTGATATCTCCCTGAGATTTTAATTTGCATCTCTCTGATGATTATTGACATTGAGCATTTTTTCATGTCTATTGGCCATTTATATGTCCTCATTGGAGAAGTGTCTATTCAGGTCCTTTGCCCATTCTTTATTGAATTGTTTGTCTCCTTTTTGTTGAGTTGTATGAATTCTTTATATTTTTTGGAAATTACTCCCTTATCACATTATTATGCTAAGCAAAATAAGCCAGTCAGAGAAAGACAAGTATCACATGATCTCACTTATATGTGGCATATCAGGATGCTGCTCTAACCAACTGAGCTACTCAGCCAAGGGCAAGTGTCCCAGACTCTTGTCAGCTAGTCTCTGGGCTTTCTCTCTCACTCCTTTACCTGAACTGTATCAAGATCTGACCTTCCTGTCATTAGTCATTGGAGAGCAACTCTGTCCATGAGGATGCATTCCCAGGCACCTGTGTGCTCACACACTCACTTTCCCCAAATATCCCTTCTGAATAAATGAAAGATCACAGACTGGAGCCAGGAAACAGATAATGACATGAAGCACAGTTTTATTAGGGGAGGAAATAAGGAAGAAGCTGAGGGAAGGAGAGCTGGGGAGCTGTGCACCAGCCCCTTGTGTCCCCACTAATCAGGGTGGAAGCCTGGAAGAAGCCCAGATACACTCTTTGCTTTGGCCCATGGATGCACCATAGCTGTGGTCAAGCCGGAGGTTGGAGAGAATGAGGCCTCCTCATATCCACCTGAGAGAGTATCAGGGTGGAAGGTAGAAGACTTGGAGGCAACGATGAGGTGTGTGTAGGTCTCAGTGGGAAGAACTTCCAACAGTGCTTCATTTGACCCTGGGTAGGAGGAAGTGGGAGAGAAGGGGAAATCCTGGAACTGGGGGGAGGAGCAGGAAGAAGAAAGGCTCTGTCTGGTAGCCTAGATGTCAAGCAGGTGGTATTCCAGATGATCCTTACTTCTGTTTACTCTGGGGGACTTGCTGGGCCATGGGGCACTTCTGCTGGGCAGGGATGGCTGTGCCCTTAGGTGGGCATTGCTTCTTGGCCTGTGGAGCACATGGATCCTTGGTTTGGGGAGCACATGTCTCTTGACATTTGACAGGCGGTGGCTGACAGGGCTGTTTCACCTGGTGCTGCTGGGTTTTCTGGGGCAGCTGCTGCTGCTGTTGCTGCTGCTGGGAAGACATTGCTGCAGGAACAGGTGAGCCTGAAAGAAAGCCAGGAAGGGGGTGCCATGAGAAGAACTCCCCCCATCTCTTCTCCCTTCTGACACTGAGAAGGGTGTTTTCTCCACCAGCCAAGAATGTGATAAGTGATTAATGGCCTCAAATTGGTTAATGGATTGATTCATATGCACCCATTGTTGCCATTGACCTCTTTCCTTTTCTTTCTCTTCTATGTTGTTCTGATATCTTATCTTCCTTCATCTCTCCATGGGTTCTTGACTTAACGGAATACATAGTATATTTCTAAGTCTTACCAGAAAATATGTTGGGGTGCTGAATTGATGATTAAAAGGTAGCCTAGACATTTTATAAGATCAAGGCATGAACTCTTAGCTGATGGGTCAGTAATGTCAGCTGGTTGCCTTGAGTAGTGCAATGAATGTGAGCAAGACAAATGGGCATAAAGAAAAGGCAGTCTTGGTCTCAGAGGGAAGTGTGCGTAAATGATGGGCTGGACAAACCCTGTTCCAGGTACTCAGAGGATTGAGTTCTAATCCTAGCTCCATCCCTGCCTCCCCACTTAACTTGGCTGTGGGATAATGGTTCTAGCCCTACATGGAGAACGTGGTTATTTAAGGCCAAAGAGATCACTGGAGATAAGAGACTTAAAAGGAAGATGTTTCACCAAGAGGCAGCTGGTTTGGAGGAAAAGAACACTGGCTCTTCATTGGCCAGGTACACCTCTGGGCAACCTGGACCCCATGCCTTTACCTGGAGGATGCTGACCAGAAAGGCCTCTGAGGCTTTCCTGGTGCTGACATGCATCTCTGGTTTCCTCTCTAGACAGCATTCCTCACCTTCTGAACTTGAGATTAGTGAGAAATGGGAAGTATAGGTCCCAGGGGGCAATCATGATAGTGAGACATGGGAGCTGCATAGTATAAAATATGATATATAAAATGTAATTTCTGTAAAGCCAAAAGCAAAGTTTGATAATGCCAAAAGGGCATGAGAAAGCTTCAAAGAAGAACCAGAATTGGCACAAAATGCTATAGCTCTAAATATATCCCCTCAATGAGAAAAATCCTTTTGCCAGGGAATTAAAACCCAGAATCAGGAAATTAGCCGCACCTAGCAGTGGTATAGAATGGAGAATGGAGACTGAATTTCCTAAGCAATAATTAGAGTGACATTTCCTTAGCTGTCACAAGGCTTATGCCACTTCTCTGACTACCTAAGAAAGAAGAGGAGAGTGGCCTAACGGCTCAAGATAGTTCAAGAAGGAGGAAAGGACCCTGAAGATCCAGGGAGGATAAATGCGTTCCCACTTACCGGGGCCACAAGCTGGATCCTAGAAGAGGAGGCTGAGGTTCATGACCAGCCACTCCTGGCAACCTTATAAAGGCCCCCAACATGCCCCAGGCACTTGGCGTGGCCCTGATCACCACCTCCCAGGCAATTCTTCACCCACTTCTCCCACCTGCACTTCCTCTAGGGACTTGCTTTACTAGACTAGACTGTTTTGATGGAAAACACCCACCAGATATTTTAGCATTGTGGGTCCCTGTCTACCAGAGCTGACGTCACCCACATAAGGCCTTTGCTCAAACTCAAGGACTCAAGATCTTTTGAAAAAAGAAAAAAATGTGAGGATTTATAAGAAACATTAAGGAAGGAGAAAGAGGAGGAGTATGGCCTTGGGGCACTTTCAACTAAAATATGAACATCGTCTTTGCTGCCATTCATTGAGCACTCACTAGAGCCTAGTGCTAAGATCACCCTTCATGCTGTTGCTTCAGTTTCTCTTTATAGCCCCTATAAGGCAAATGCCATTGCTCCCATTTTACAGATGAGAAAGTGAGGCTAGGAAGGATGCCTTAGGTGGTAAGCAGCAGAGGTGGGATTTGAACTCAGATGGGAAGGATTCAAAGAACCTATAGTTTTAAACATTATAGAGGGAGAAGTCCCCCAGCCCGGCCCCACTACACAATGTTGTGGGTTTCCCAATCTAGCAAGGACCTTTTACACAGGATTCTATTCATCTTCTCATTGAGCACAAGCAGAAGAATGTGAGTGGTGCCCCTAAACTTCATCATCGTGGTGCTGTGTCCCCCTCCTGCCCACCAGGAGTCAGGGACTGATGGGTATTATTAGTGTTGGTGCAAGAAGGTGGGATAGAGTTTGACCTTTGTGTTAGGGCTGCCAGATAAAATACAGAGTACCCAAGTTCAATTTCAGATAAACAACAGATTTTTTTTAGTGTAAGTATGTCCCAAATATTGCATGAAATATATGACAAAAGCACTTGTTTATCTGAAATTCAACTGTAACAGGGAAGATTGTATTTTTACCTGCTAAATCTGGCAACCGTATTCAGATGGGAGGAAAGAGCGCTGATCCTCCAGTTGGCCTCCTAGTCCCTGTGCTCTAGGAGGCTGATCCCCTTTGGACCACTGCCCAGAACATCAGGATCCTGCTCGACTAGAGGTCAATGTGCTCTTTTCCATCATTGTTGAGTGCGAGGCTGCCTGAGAAATGATAGAAGTACCTAAAAGTAATTTTTAAACCATTTCCAAATCCCTCATTTAATTTTCATGGCAGTCCTGTTAGGTAGCTTAAATTAGATTTTACAGTTTAAAAAAGTAGACCCAGGAAAGTTAACTGGCTGCTCAACAACTTGTAACCAACGGGGTGAAGTTGGGTGGGGACCTTTGCCCAAAGATTGTTTCCACAGTATCACAGTGGCTAGCATCTCCTTGGTGGACAAGAGACTGTCACTGGGTGGGGACCGTGACTAATGATCTTGCCTGTGCTTTCTGTCATATACAGACCGGATATTGCTCATTTTTCAGGGTCAGTTAAACCTTTAAAGTTAAGCCTTAATTCCCCTTCCAGGCCATGCCTCCTCTTCTACCTACTCCCAGGCCTATGGGAGGAAAGAGCTCTGATCCTCCAGTTGACCTCCTAGTCCCTGTGCTCTAGGAGGCTGATCCCCTTTGGACCACTGCCCAGAACATCAGGATCCTGCTCGACTAGAGGTCAATGTGCTCTTTTCCATCATTGTTGAGTGTAAGGCTGCCTGAGAAATGATAGAAATACCTAAAAGTAATTTTTAAACCATTTCCAAATCCCTTATTTAATTTTCATGGCAGTTCTGTTAGGTAGCTTAAATTAGATTTTACAGTTTAAGAATGGTTTCAGATTCCAGGCTCTCCATTCAATATTGGAGATGAACACCCTCTCTGCCTGTGCCCCTCGCTTCCATGCTCCCACACCATTATGTTCATCCTGATGCAGACTCTCCAAAAGGGAAATATGCAGCAAGACAGATCTGGTGTGGACATAAATCAAGGCATTTTCACGTGCCTGGCCTCTAGAATGAGTGAGTGTAGATGTGCTGGGTATGAGTGAATAGATGGTGCCGTCCCCTCATGTCTCAGTCACCTCATAGCTTCTCTGGAATACGCTCGAGTCTTTATTCTTCCCAATCTGCTCATTGACCTCTTACTTGATCAGTAAACAACCCCTGTTTAATTTTAAGAATTCTAGCTAGTGATACAACTTGGCTTATAACACAACTATCATCTCAGAGGATACTCCAGGGGTGGCTTGGATAGAGACCTAAACATGGCTGGCCTTGAACGGCCAGTGTCCTCTAGGTCATAAATATCTAATAAGACAACATCAAGTTGGTCTGCATCCAACACATTCAACTTTTCAAAGCTGTCACTCAGCTTTCCTGTTGGCCACATTATCCCCATTTTATAGAGGGGGAAACTGAGAGGTGGAATGGAGATACGCTCTGCCCAAGGTCACAGAGAGGCTAATGTCAAAGCCAGGGTTGGCTCATTGGTCTCCTGACTTCGCAGCTCTTTTCAGTTAGCTGAAGTGACTGAACCACTGGACTGCCTCTTAGCAGAGGTTAAGTTAATGACAAAATTAAGGAGTTGGTTCTGGTGGTTCCCATCTCTGATACAAGTCTCCCTCCTTCCCTCCTCCCTGGTACTCAAGTGCTCTCTTTCCTACCAAGCCTGTCTTCCCTCCCTGCTCTGAGAGACCCGAACGGATCCCTGGTCCTCACACTGCCAGGCACAGGTGCATTTTTATTAGTCATTAAACCTCATAAAACACCTCCATATACAGTTTTCACAATACTCTATGAAGAAAGCTAATTGTTTCTTCCATATATTTTTTGGAAGAAAAAACTGGCTCTGGTGATGGCTGGGTCCAGAGTCCAGAAGAGAAGGCAGATCCAAGTTTCTTAAATCTGTAATTACTGATTTCCAGACAGAGTGGACTGTTCTTTAAAAAAAGGACGAAGGAGGGGAGACTTCCTGGCACTCCTGGAATCAATCACCACATGTAAACAACTCCTGCGGGTATGGAATGGTGACTCTAGTCCCTGCTCCCACCCCCACCACCTAGCCTGGCCTCGGGACTGTCACCTGGCCATCTTGAGTCTTGCATCTGCTCTCTCATCCTCAAAGGGCCATGGTGTATTAAAACCAGAAGGCCAGGCTCTGCATCGTCCCTCCCTAGGAAGCAGACACCTGAGAACAGGTGTGTTCCTGTGACTCCATCAGGGAAGGGAGGGAACAGGCAAGACTCATTTCTGAGGGTGAATCAAAGCTTGAGAAATCCCAGCCCCACCCTACATACAAACAATGGGGTGACTGGGCAACAGAGACCTGACATTGGGAGGGGACCCTGCCAGAGACAATGGGAAGAATCATCTATCTCCCCATCTGGACACATCCCCACCAGAGCACCTTTTCTCTGGGCTTTGGGGGTAGGGGAAAAGGGTTGTTGATGGCTCCATCTGGAGACACATAGAACATGTTTATGATGCTATTTATTTTCAAGAATGATACAAGGAAAGACAAAAAGGAGAGCTCTGAGTTACTCGTGAGAGGCTTTTAGGATGGGAGGATGGTGCGTAGCAAAGAGAACTATGGAGGGTTGGGCCTGCCAAAATTCCTGTATTTGAGCTGCTTACCCAGTAAAATAAAAAATTTAAATCTGGCCAAATTACATCTCGTTTTAAAAATCACAATCATGTCAGGTTTGCTTCATTTCTGGTTGAGCATAACCAGCAGACATGACTTAGTACATTTTAGTTTCGAGTTTCTCCCTTCACCAATTATTCTATCAGCAAACATTTCAGAGGACGCTACATTAAACTTGTGACCTTTTCTTTGTTTGGGAAATCCATTTGCAATGTGAATCACTTCACCCTGTAATTTAGCTGTTTGTAAACAAGATGTTCAGATGCTAATGTTAGGTATTTTGTATAATGGCATTAAAAGCAGACCCATGGAGAGAGGAGTGAGATGATGAGTCTCCAGAAATATGTGATTAATTTATCCCCTTCTTCACCCCCCCCCACCCCGTCCCTCTGTGATATGTTTCTAGAAGACCCTCAACAGTCCTAGGAGTTTTATAAAGGGGGAAATAAAGTCCTGAACCTGGTGAGAGGCTAGCTCCAACAGGACATCCATAGATTGTCACCAGTGGAAGTTGAAAACTGGCTACGGAAGGAGAGGGGGTGAGTGGGCAAAGCATCCCTCTCTGGGAAGATAGCCAAGGTCATCCTCTTGGAAGCCAAGTGGCACTGAAGCATAGTCACCCTTTCCTCTACATGACAAGTACAGTTAGAGACATAGGGAAGGAAGGAGCCAGGGGCATAAAGAAATAGCTCGCCTGATACTTGGCCCTCCCTGGCTGTCAGATCTTGAGCACAACCCTTAACTTTTCTGGGCCTCAATTTTCCTCTTCTCTGATATGAGGAGATTGGCTAAAATTTTCTGTAAGGTCCCATTAAGTGCTAACATTCTGTAAATGTATGATTAGGTCTTGGAAGGCAGCCGAGTTTTGTTTGAGTGGTATTCACAGTGAGCTGAGAGCACTGAAGTTGAGTTCCAGCTCAACCAGAGAGAGCACTATAATTGATTAGAGACATCTGCTATGGGAGGGCTGAGTGGACAAAGGTGTGTAGGTAGTCACCTTCCCTGGTTTAGCCTAAAGCAGGGAGTGATGTGCTGGGGTTTCGTGTGAGGATAATGATGAAGCACTTGAAGAAGAAGAGAGGGTATGAACTGTTTCCAAACCTCACCTCGTGCTTTCTTTCCTCAAATAATTCCATCAATGATGGCCCTCTACTCCCAAATTTCCCAGTGAAATTCAAGGTAATATTTTTTGTTGTCATTAATCCTCACCCGAGGATATTTTTTCCATTGTTTTTTTTAAGAAAGAGTGGAATAGGGGAGAGAGAGAGAGAAGAGAAGAAGAAGAGAAGAGAAGAGAAGAGAAGAGAAGAGAAGAGAAGAGAAGAGAAGAGAAGAGAAGAGAAGAGAAGAGAAAACACATCAATTATTTGCCTCCGCAACATGTGCTGTGTGTGTTCGATTCCCTGACCAGGACTGGGAATTGAACCTGTAACCCAGGTACTTGCCCATGACCAGGAATGGAACCCACAATTCTTTAGTGCAAGGTCCTACCCTCTACCCACTGAACAACACCAGCCAAGGCTCAAAGTAATCTTTAGGAATCATTTTAAATGTTAATTTCTCCATGATCTCTTTTGTTGGTCTTTCCCAATAAATTGTTCTCTTCTACAGAACACCCACAGTTTTTTATTTATACCTATTTGAAGAACTTTTCATATAATTTTTTGACTTGATATACATATAAATGATAAAATATCTATTTACTTATTTATTTTAGCATTAAATGTAAGTTTCATGATAGTAGGAGCTGTTAAACCTTCATCATATATATTCATGTGCTTATCATTTATCAGCCATTGTAGCCAAAGATATAGTGTATTCATTCAATCAATATGAACAAATGAATGCAAAAACAAATTGGTGAAACAAAGTTGGAGTGATCACAATACCAGATATCAAGCTATATTACAAAGCCACGGTTCTCAAGACTGTCTGGTACTGGCACAAGAACAGACATATAGACCAATGGAACAGAAAAGAGAACTCAGAAATAGACCCAAGCCAGTATGCTCAATTAATATTTCACAAAGGAGGCAAGAGCATACAAGGAAGTCAAGACAGTCTCTTCAATAAATGGTGATGGGAAAATTGGTCAGATACATGCAAAAAAAATGAAACTAGATCACTAACTTACACCATACACAAAAATAAACTCAAAGTGGTTAAAGGACTTAAATGTAAGATGGGAAACCATAAAAATCTTAGAAGACTCCATAGGTAGCAAAATATCAGACATATGTCGTAGCAATAT